AATATTTAATACCTTGAAAAACACAATAAAAGTAGGCTTTTTTCCCTTTAAATTGTAAGTCTAATCTTAATCCTACCTAAGAAGGAGATGGGGAGGGCTCCTAATGAGTTTATAATTCACGATATAAGAGAATATGATGGAACGAATAGCCAATTGACCAAATATGATTGCTCTATTAAATTTTAGATTAATTATTTGAAGTATAAAATATAAGAAAATTACTTAGAATATTTTAATAAAATTGTTTGTTTAAATAAAAGAAATGTAGTTGATAGTATTAAATAGGTATACTTAATAAACACATAAAATTCGATTGAATAGTGATTTTGTTTATTATTATTATTATTATAGAGTATTTTGTACCGAATCCCGGTGAAAATAAATTGATAAAGTAGAGGTTGTGGGAATCATACCTGGGTCCTGAAGGGGAGAGGACTTGCCTCTACCACTAAACTAACTTATATTTTAGATATAACACATGTTCCCTTTGTCCCATTTATGTTGTCTATTGTTAACTTTTTACGTAATTTTAGGAAGAAAAAGTTTGTGTAAGATATGTATTGTAAAAATATTAAAATGACAATTTTATTCTAGAAAAATTAAATTTTATTTTATTGGGAAACTAAAAAAGGGTAGAAAGAGAAAAATGACTCGTAAAAGTTGTTGATTTTTTTTCCAATGGTACAATTTAAATGGGATAATTTTAAAACACAAAAGGGGCAACTTTAATAGGATAAAGGAAGTATTATATATCGGTTTATTAGGAAACACAATGAATAGAGAATTCACAGAAAGGTTAGATACTTTCATTCATCAACAGATACATCATTTATAGAGGTTGCCAAGTACATTAACCTCTAACTAATTGCCTAACAAACTAGCTAACCACTAACAAAATGGCTAACCACTCAACACACGTGTACTCTCTTCTAATAACAATCTAACATTCCCCATACTCATTCCCATCTTGTTCTTGGCTTAGACAACAGACACCACACACACTTTCCTGTGAAATTCCTCAAACGCAGCCTTAGACAAGGCTTTTGTGAAACTATCTGCAACATGATGTGCAACTAGTATGTACTTCACCTTGAACTGACCAGCAATAACATTCTCTCGAACAAAGTGAACATCCAGGTCAATATGTTTAGACTGAGCATGATAAACAGGGTTTACACTCATCGCCACTACACCTGTATTATCACACCAAACCACCGGTTCCTGACGCTGATACAACCCGAGACCAGCAAGTAAAACACTCACCCATGTAACTTCCGCTGCAGTATCTGCAACACACTTGTACTCAACTTCCATCATCGATCTCGACACAGTTTTCTGCTTTTTATAGCTTCATGCAACTAGACACTTGAGAGGTTTTTCTTGTTTACATCTTTTAACCTTTTGTAAAGGGGATTCGTTCTAGTTTAGCCTTTGAAAAGCTAGGGAGTTGTAAAGGTTATCTCTTTATCTTGGAAAAAGAAAGAACAAATTAGTGAATTTGTTAGAAAATCCTTAGTGAGGAGGTAAGGTAGTAGATGTAGACTTGGTTGAGAAGTCGAACCACTATAAATCATTGTGCAAATTATCTCATCTTTATACTTTTTATTCCCTAATCTTAAAAAACCAATTCACCCCTATTTGCAAATTAGTCGCTTGATCATTTGAGCTTCATCAATAATCCCAACAATTGATATAAGAGCTTGACTCATTATAAGGTCTAACAACCTTGAGACGATCCTTGAAGAAGCTTTTTCTATTTTTGTTGCAACCGAGAAGTTGACTTTTACCTCCGGCTCATTCCACTTGGAAGACTCCCAACCGATTGACAAGCCTCCATACTTCAATGGAGCTAACAACCGTCATTAGAAGAAATTAATGAAGCCATTCATCCAATCTGATGATCTTGATACATGGGAGATGATCGAGAACGTCTACTATTCTCTAAAGAAGAAGACGAAGGAGTGGAGTGCCCAAGAAATGAAGAAAGCTCAATAAAATGCCAAGGTCATGCACATCTTGTTTTGTGCATTTGGTCCCTATATCTATGAAGGCATTTATTCTTGTTCAAATAACAAGGAGCTTTGGAATAAGCTCGAAGAACTTCACGGTGACAAAAAAGAACTACCAAAGGTAGCGTGTTTAATGGCTCTTGAAGAGCCCAAGGTATCTTCTAACTCAAATGAATTAAATTCATATTCTTTTGATGAGTTACAAGATGCTTATGATGAATTGTATTTGGATTTTGAGACCATGAATTACAAATATAAGAAATTGATTTCAAAATTCAAAGTTGAAAATGATTTTCTCTTGAAAGCTAAATTGGATTTTGAAAAGCAAAATGAAACTTTGAAAAATGATTTTGAGATTTCAAAAACCAAAATTGAAGATTTGGAAAAAGAAAATCCTAAATTGAAAGTTAAGCTTGAATGATTAACAAAAGAAAAACAAATCATTTCTAAAAACAATTCATTTATGTTAAAAATGGAAAAATGTTCACATTGCCATTTTCATGGTCATATGGAACGTACTTGTCCTATAAAGAAAGGAAAATGTTTTAGAATTAGACAAGTATGGGTTCCTAAGGGAACAAGAGGCATTGAAACTAGGATCCAAAGCAATTTGGATACCAAAATCCAATTAAATGTCTCTTGTAGGACTGTGGGAGCAATGGTGATGAAAGTGAAGACATTCAAATGCTCTAGCCACACTTGAAAATGAATGGGTAACCTCTAAGCTTAATGTTTTTGTTTTGATTAATTGGTTGTCTATTTGTTGTATGCATGCATGAGTTTTGATTTTAAATAATTTTATGTTTTTCATCTCTTGTCTGTTGAAAAGTGTATCGTGATGATCATTTTCTAAAGTTTAAATGATTTTTCATAAATGTTTGTTCATCATAATTAATTTTGGTCAAAATTAATTTTAATGGTTTGTTTGTACAAATTTTTAGTTTTTGACATTAATTTAAATGTTGATGCATGTGATTTGTTGCAAATGATATATATCTAACAATTGATATCAATTTTTCAAATGCATAACATCTTTTGATAGCTTTATGCACATGCACTTAAATACAACAATTAATATTGCATGAAGTATATTAGACTTGGATATATTGAATTTCATGTGCTAATAACATGTTTGTTCATCTTTGTTGAAATTCAATGTCTTTTAAGTGTCATGCCTTTAAAGTCAATTTTTTTTTGTTTGGAATGCATTTATTGAGGGGGAGCTTTGATTTTTCAAATGATTTTATGATAAAATTTATCACTTACTCTTCATTGTTATTCTTGAACTTTAAAGTTGAATTATTTTTGATATAACAAAAAGAGGGAGAAGTATGAGTTTGAAATTTTCAATTTAAAGAATGAAAAAGGGGGAGCTTTAATATTTTCCAAATATTTATATTTTCATGAAATATTTTATTAAGGGGGAGTTTTGCCAAAAACAAATTTTCAAATGTTTTGTTATATCAAAAAGGAGGAGATTGTTGAACTATGTTTTATAATATTTTGATATAACAAATTAAGCCAAAATGTTTTTGGACTTGATTGAATTTGTTCAAAGTTTTCAAAAATAATTCAAAGTCCATTGAACTAGAATTTGAGCACAAAATAGGTTTTCTGGGTACGTAGAACCGATACTGTTTTTATAGTATCTATACTACATGAACAATATCAATATTGTCATGTGGTACTGATACCAAAGGTAAGAGAAATATTGATACGCTCTAGGTAGTATTGATTTAAAACTAACAAAATAATTTAGAAACATTTGATGTGATTAATTTTTAATTATAAAATCACACAAACGTAACTCATTTGAATTTATTTTAAATATAATATATATATTTTAATTTAAATACATATTAAATATCTAAAACATTTTGTCTCAAAATCTGAATCACATTTTTGTGTACAATCGTTCCAGTATATAGTCACATCCGTAGAAATTAAATTCCATTGAAACATTAACCTGAGAAAATTATATCAAAACTACCTAGGGTTAGATTTCATACACGCCGATCCTATTCCTCGAGTCTTGGTCGGTTGTTATTAATTTTTTTAATTAAGTTAAGCGATTATAAAATAATATTTGTTTTAAATACTCTTATTCATTTGACAATGAACGTTCAATCATCATGTTACAGTTGTTGGTGTTTAAATCTGTGACCTCTAAAAACAACATCGACTTCTTTAATCACTAAGATAAATTGATTTGTACTGATTTTCATTAATCCGAGTCTAGATCACCTACTCTTTTCAGTGGTGCATGAATCAGTTGTAGTAGACCGCGGTTAATTAATGCAAATTGAAGGGTCAAACCTACATAATTTTGACGATGACAGTTAGTCAATTAAATGATAATATACTATAATATACATTTATTTTTAAATATTATTTTCTCATTTACATTCGTCGCGTATATAAACAACTAACAAATACTTATTTTTAATAAAATAAATAAATCTTAATAAATAGTGTTTGAAAAAACTCTTATCAATTTTTTTGACAAATAAACATTTATTAATTTTAAACATGTATGCAAAAAGAAACATGACGTGTAAAAATCAATAAATCAACTGGTAAAAATAAGAATATATTTATAAATATAAATTTTTAAAGAGAATATATATATATATATATATATATATATATATATATATATATATTTGTTAATAATATAAATTTTTTGTATGAAAAATTACTAATGAAATAGATAATTAATCAAATAAAATTTAGATTTCATAATGGATATAGTTAATGCATATATCTGGCATTGGTACTATGTGAAGGGCTGGATTTGATTGGACGATGCTACCTACTCATCAAGGCTCATGGGTCCATCAAGCTTTAAGGAAAAGTTTATTTGACATGTTAAAAATATGGATACATTACCTGTTTTTCTACTGTATTATTCATTACAGGACGTTGATGTCCGCTGCCCAGTGTATATAAAGCATGCACAACAAAGCTACGAGAGCATCCTTACAAAGAAAGTTTAGAGTTTATAAACCAAAGAAGATAAAACAACTATGGCAATAGCTTCTCGATGGAGAGAACTTAGCGGAGAGAATAACTGGGAGGGTCTGTTGCGCCCTCTGGATATCGATCTCCGCCGCTATCTCATTCACTATTGTCAAAGGGCCGGAGCCGCCGGTGATGCTTTCAATGGGATTAGGGCATCCAAGGGTTATGCCCATAGCCTATACCCTGCTGATGAGTTTTTCGCTAGGGTTGGTCACGAAACCGGTAACTCTTACCATTATAAAGTGGTGAGCTTTATATATGCTGCTACAGCTGCCGATGAAGTTGCCTATTTCGGATATGTCGCGGTGGCCACCGACCAAGGAAAAGCTGCTCTGGGAAGGAGGGATATTCTCGTTTCGTGGAGGGGAACCATAACACACACCGAGTGGGCTAACGATGCTAATATTTTTCAAACATCGGCTAAAGAATTGTTCGGACACGACATTGTTCAGGTGCATGCTGGTTTTTACAACATCTATACAAAGTCAATTGCAAATTCCCCTTATGCCGAAACCAGCGCCAGGGAACAGGTAAATCTTTACATGTATCCATGTACATACACATTTACGTATACGTACGTATATGATGACTTAACAGTTCATTAATTTGCTATTAATGGTCCGTCAGGTTTGTAAAGTGTTGCAGCAGCTGATAACTATGTATCAGAATGAGGAGGTGAGCATAACTGTGACAGGCCATAGTCTGGGCGCTGCACTTGCAACCCTAAACGCTATGGACATTGCTCACAATGGGTTCAATAAGCCTGCAGGCAATCCGAATAAGGCCTTCGTGGTGACTGCTTTTCCGATCGCGAGCCCCCGCATCGGGAACATGTTCTTCAGTGGCGTCTGTGATAAACTCGAGAATTTTCGTATCCTCCGGATTGTAAATTCGACGGACCACGTTCCAAAGCTCCCGTTCTTACCAGGAATCTACTTCCATGTGGGAAAAGAGTTAGGGCTTGACGCGACCAAGTCACCCTATTTGAAATGGAATATTAGTGCTCACAATTTGGAGGCTTACCAGCATGCAATTGCAGGGCAGCAAGAAAATGGAGAATTCAAACTGGAAGAAGAAGTTGGATTTGATAATGCCGTCATAAACAAATACACTGATGGTTTACTGGACGAATACAAAATACCAGATAACTGGTGGACTAAGGAATTGTTCAAAAACATGGTTCAGGCGGACGATGGGCACTGGAAGTTCAATGACATTGCCTTTGTGCCAGGTCCTCCACCAGCTTAAATGGATCCGTCCATGCATTATTATAAGTACCTCTACTTATATGTTTCCTGCAAAATAAGTACCTCTACTTATCTGAGTAGCAGGGTTTCCTTGAATTAAAATATTGTTGGACGCCAAGCCTCTGTCGTTCAACATGATTGTGATGTCTTGACTTTGTGTTTGTCTATTACATATATTTTAAAGAATTAAGTTATTATTTTATTTTTCCAAGAATAGCGTTAATACTTGAAAATTCTAGTATTTGTCATGAAGTTTATGCTATACATTTATTCAGTGCATTTATATACTCATTTCGTTTCCTTCGTACTATCATTTTATTATACATTAATTGTAAAGAGAACAATATACATACATACGACGAGTAAGATGAGTTTATTTAATAATGGATTTTTATACTGTATTAAATATTTAATACCTTGAAAAACACAATAAAAGTAGGCTTTTTTCCCTTTAAATTGTAAGTCTAATCTTAATCCTACCCAAGAAGGAGATGGGGAGGGCTCCTAATGAGTTTATAATTCACAATATAAGAGAATATGATGGAACGAATAGCCAACTGACCAAATATGATTACTCTATTAAATTTTAGATTAATTATTTGAAGTATAAAACATAAGAAAATTACTTAGAATATTTTAATAAAATTGTTTGTTTAAATAAAAGAAATGTAGTTGATAGTATTAAATAGGTATACATAATAAACACATGAAATTCAATTGAATAGTGATTTTGTTTATTATTATTATTATTATAGAGTATTTTGTACCGAATCCCGGTGAAAATAAATTGATGAAGTAGAGGTTGTGGGAATCATACCTCGGTCCTGAAGGGGAGAGGACTTGCCTCTACCACTAAACTAACTTATATTTTATATATAACACATGTTCCCTTTGTCCCATTTATGTTGTCTGTTGTTAACTTTTTACGTAATTTTAGGAAGAAAAAGTTTGTGTAAGATATGTATTGTAAAAATATTAAAATGATAATTTTATTCTAGAAAAGTTAAATTTTATTTTATTGGGAAACTAAAATAAGGGTAGAAAGAGAAAAATGACTTGTAAAAGTTGTTGATTTTTTTTCCAATGGTACAATTTAAATGGGATAATTTTAAAACACAAAAGGGGCAACTTTAATAGGATAAAGGAAATATTATATATCGGTTTATTAAGAAACACAATGAATAGAGAATTCACAGAAAGGTTAGATACTTTCATTCATCAACAAATACATCATTTATAGAGGTTGCCAAGTACATTAACCTCTAACTAATTGCCTAACAAACTAGCTAACCACTCAACACACGTGTACTCTCTTCTAATAATAGTCTAACATTCCCCCTACTCATTCCCATCTTGTTCTTGGCTTAGACAGCATACACCACGCACACTTTCCTGTGAAATTCCTCAAACGCAGCCTTAGACAAGGCTTTTGTGAAACCATCTGCAACATGGTGTGCAACTAGTATGTACTTCACCTTGAACTGACCATCAACAACATTCTCTCGAACAAAGTGAACATCCAGGTCAATATGTTTAGATTGAACATGATAAACAGGGTTTACACTCATCACCATTACACCTGTATTATCACACCAAACCATCGGTTCCTGACGCTGATACAACCCGAGACTAGCAAGTAAAACACTCACCAGGTAACTTCGCTGCAGTATCTGCAACACACTTGTACTCAACTTCCATCGTCGATCTCGACACAGTTTTCTGCTTTTTATAGCTTCATACAACTAGACACTTACCAACAAACACCCCATAGCCAGAGATGGATCGTCAGTCATCTATATTTGTACCCTAATTAGCATCAGCAAATGCAACAACAATCAACCCATCATCAAACAGTTGGAACAACAGACTATAATCAACAGTTCCAGCCAAATATCGAAGTATTCTCTTGACTGCAACATATGAGTTTCACGCGGTGCATGCATCAATTGTGTATCATTTCCAACACTATAGGCTAAGTCGGGACATGTATGACATACATAAAGTAAAGAGCCAACTATGCTACGATATTCACTAACATCTGATAAGAACTCCCCCTCATCTGTTGACAACTTGGAAGCCAAAATCATTGGCATGGCACAACCTACTACACCTTTCATTTCAGTCTTCTTTAGTAACTCCAACACAAATTTCTTTTGGCTTAACACAACAGAATCACGTGAACTATGCAATTCAATCCCCAAGAAAAAACTAAGCATACCTAAATCCTTGAGCGAGAACCTATCTCTAAGAAATTGCACCACCTTTTGAATTCTGCTAGATGATCGCCCAGTAATGCCAATATTATTTGAACATATACTACTTTGTAAACTCAATATTGAAACCTTCAAAAACAAATTTTATTCAAAGAATGAGTCTGCCACACTCGATGAGAACCGATGAACATCATTAATGATGAACACCATTATTTAATTTATAAAAGTTTAAAATTATAAAGGATTCAACGTATAATTATAAATTAGTTAAAATTTTAAAGGTAAATTATTTAAAATAAAATGTAAACTATACCAATGATTACCTAACTATTGCCTATTTTTATTTTGATCACTATTTTTGAAATTTTATCAATCATGTCACTCAAGTATTTAAATGAATTCAATTAAACCACTTGTCATTAATATTTAACAGAGAAGCTGATGTGACATTTAAAATATTTGGTATAATTACACATTTTATCATTGTTACTTATATATTCAATTAATTTAGTCATAATTTTAATAAATTAAAATAAATTTAACAATCAAATCAAATGGTGTCATGTGTCATTAGTGACAAGTGTAATGACAAGTATGAGTTTGGAAATTTTAATTTCAATAATGAAAAAGATGGAGCTTTAATATTTTCCAAATATTTACCTTTTTCAAGAAATATTTTATTAAGGGGGAGTTTTGTTAAAAATAAATTTTCAAATGTTTTGTTATATCAAAAAAAGGGAGATTGTTGAACTATGTTTTATAATATATTGATATAACAAATTAAGGCAAAATGTTTTTGGACTTGATTGAATTTGTTAAAAGTTTTCAAAAATTATTCAAAGTCTATTAAACTAGAATTTGAGCACAAAACATGTTTTCTAGGTACATAGTACCGATATTGTTCTTGCAGTATCGATACTACATGAACAATGTTGATATTGTTCATGTGGTACCGATACCAAAGGTAAGAGAAGTATCAATACTCTTTAGGTAGTATCGATACTACCAGTTGTTTTCCAAATTGCTAAAATTCCATAATGCAAAATAGGTATCGATACCCAAGCGGGTACCAATACTACTTTACACAGTAGTATCGATACCATGAAGCACAATATTGATACTGGTCAAGCCCAACAGTCTTTAACGGCTAGTTTATTTAAAAATTACAAAGGTAGTATCGATACTCATTAAAGGAGTACCGATACTCCCTGTCCTGGGTAGCTTTATTTTATAGAAAATTAATCCCCAACGGCTCCAAAACATCCTCAATGGCTAGAAACGACCACAAACTCATTCCAACATATAAAAACAAGTTGACGACACTTGAAGAAGGTTGGACAACACCTATACAAGCAATCAAACACAAGAGAATAATTTTTCGTTCTTATTTTCTTTTCTCTTGTAAATATTTGTGTTTTGAGCTCATTGCAAATCTTTTATTTGTTTTCTTGTGAGCTTAATTTGTGTAAACACCTTCCTTTTGAGAGGTTTTTCTTGTTTACATCTTTTAACCTTTCGTAAAGGGGATTGGTTCTAGCTTAGCCTTTGAAAAGCTAGGGAGTTGTAAAGGTTATCTCTTTATCTTGGAAAAAGAAAGAACAAATTAATGAATTTGTTAGAAAATCCTTAGTGAGGAGGTAAGGTAGTGGATGTAGACTTGGTTGAGAAGTCGAACCACTATAAATCATTGTGCAAATTGTCTCATCTTTATACTTCTTATTCCTTAATCTTAAAAAACCAATTCACCCTCTATTGGCAAATTAGTCGGTTGATCATTTGAGCTTCATCGATAATCCCAATAATTGATATAAGAGCTTGACTCATTAGAAGGTCTAACAACCTTGAGACGATCCTTGAAGAAGCTTTTTCTATTTTTGCTGCAACCAAGAAGTTGACTTTTACCTCCGGCTCATTCCACATGAAAGACTCCCAACCGATCGACAAGCCTCCATACTTCAATGGAGCCAACAACCGTCATTAGAAGAAATTAATGAAGCCATTCATCCAATCTAATGATCTTGATACTTGGGAGATGATCGAGAACGACTACTATTCTCTAAAGAAGAAGACGAAGGAGTGGAGTGCCCAAGAACGGAAGAAAGCTCAATAAAATGCCAAGGTCATGCACATATTGTTTTGTGCATTTGGTCCCTATATCTATGAAGGCATTTATTCTTGTTCAAATAACAAGGAGCTTTGGAATAAGCTCGAAGAACTTCACGGTGACAAAAAAGAACCACCAAAGGTAGCGTGTTTAATGGCTCTTGAAGAGCCTAAGGTAACTTCTAACTCAAATGAATAAAATTCATATTCTTTTGATGAGTTACAAGATGCTTATGATGAATTGTATTTGGATTTTGAGACCATGAATTACAAATATAAGAAATTGATTTCAAAATTCAAAGTTGAAAATAATTTTCTCTTGAAAGCTAAATTGGATTTTAAAAAGCAAAATGAAACTTTGAAAAATGATTCTGAGATTTCAAAAACCAAAATTGAAGATTTGGAAAAAGAAAATCCTAAATTGAAAGTTAAGCTTGAATGATTAACAAAAGAAAAACAAATCATTTCTAAAAACAATTCATTTATGTTAAAAATGGAAAAATGTTCACATTGCCATTTTCATGGTCATATGGACCGTACTTGTCCTATAAAGAAAGGAAAATGTTTTAGAATTAGACAAGTATGGGTACCTAAGGGAACAAGAGGCATTGAAACTAGGATCCAAAGCAATTTGGATATCAAAATCCAATTAAATGTCTCTTGTAGGTGTGTGGGAGCAATGGTGATGAAAGTGAAGACATTCAAATGTTCTAGCCACACTTGAAAATGAATGGGTAACCTCTAAGCTTAATGTTTTTGTTTTGATTAATTGGTTGTCTATTTGTTGTATGCATGCATGAGTTTTGATTTTAAATAATTTTATGTTTTTCATCTCATGTATGTTGAAAAGTGTATTATGATGATCATTTTCTAAAGTTTTAATGATTTTTCATAA